CACCCCGGGTGGGCGGAGGGGGATCCCCACGGGGTCGGGGCGGCAAGAGGACACCCCGACAGCCTCCGCAATGTCCGGGGCCCAACTTCCAGCGCAACATGTGTAGCCGCGTCCTCGCCTAGTCCAGGTGGCCGCAACCTTGGGGGACAGACAGGGCAGGACAGGACCAAGGAAGAGAAAGGAGAGACGGAGCCAGGGAGAGGCAAGAGGTCCCCACCGCCGCTGCCGCTGCCGCCTCCCCGGGGCCTGGCCCCCCTATCGGCTCCCCGAGCTCTCCGCGGAATCTTGGGGTCGCTGGACGCCGGGTTCCGGTCCTGGCCCCCCCGCAATTCCCCACACAGAACAGGGTCATGAAAAGGTAAGGCAGGGGCAGGGGTGCAGGGTGGGGTGGGAATGTGGACCCCCAAATCTAGGGCAGGGAAAGTTGGCCGGGGGCCTCATGGAGGGAGGAGGGTTTAATGGTGGGCTGGGGTCTCTGCTCCCCTCAGCTCCCCTGTCCCTCGGGACTCTCCTCCACCCTCTCCCTCTCAGAGCCCCTTTTATCCTGGGTCACACTTCAGACCTCGTAAGCCCCCCATTTCTCTGACACTTTGCTCCCCAACCCCACATACCTGACACCCCACATCTCTGTTCCTCCATCTCTCCATCTCACCTTCTCTCTGCACCCCCCTCCTGCATCAGTCTCCCCCATCGCTGGCCCGTCCCTCTCCCTCTCCTCTCGCTCTCCCCTCCCATCTCAGAGCTATGAGTCTGCTATTAATACCCCTGCCAAGGACCTTGAGGGCATCCGGGGCCCCAGCACCCCTCGGCCCAAGTTCCCACCCCTTCCTCAAGGTTCTGGAATACCCTTCCAGCCTCTTCCAAGCACCAGGCTCAGGGTGGGGAGAGACCGGTGTTGTGTGTGTTGGGGGGGAAACGGAATGCCGTCTGCAGCACGACTCGAGGGGGGGAGCTGTTGATCAAAGTGGCCTCTCCTCTCTTCTGTGATAGGTGGGGGGGAGCGATGGAGACAGGGACACCCTAGGAATCTCTGTCACCCTGCTCCTCCTCAGCTTGGGGCCCGGTTGTGCTATGTACAGAATATGAGTAGGGTGACCAGGGAGGCTAGAGTTGGGAGGGGGCACCCAGGACGTTGGGACTGATGGGGGCTTGAGACAAAAGCGGGGTGTTTAGGGGGCAGAGAGGGCTGGGAACCTGGATTCCTGGGTCTTGGGGGGAGCTGGGGACCCCAACTCTTGGCTACCGAGGGCAGAAGGGGCCGAGCACTGGAATTTCTGAGTCTTAGGGCAGGAGGGGCCAGGACTTCTGGGTCCTGAGAGAGAACGGGGTTGAGCACCTGGGCTCGAATCTAGGGGGAGGAGGGGGCCAGTGGCAGGACGCCTGAGTCTTTATGGAAGTTGGAGGACAGGACTTGTGTGTCTCCTGAGTCTCTGCCTGGGAAGGGGATGGGAGTCGGGACTCCAGTCCTGTGTGGATGAAAGTGTGAGGAGGTGGAGACCGGGGCGGGGGAGGGGGCTGGACTCTGTGATCCCTGAGGGTGTGGGCTCTGGGCACTGGGCCTCTAGAGTCCTGGAGGACTGGGGGTGCCCCCTCTCGGTCCCTGGGAAAGGGCTGGGCATCTAGTCTCCTGAGAGGGGTGGGGCTGGGACTGCCTTCCTGGACCTCAGTAGGGAGCAGGACCCTGAGGTCCCCAAGAGCAGAGGCCAGGTGTGGTGGGTCTGTGGGAGGCAGAGGAGGGGCTGAGGGGTAAGCAGGAGCCAGGGAGAACAAGTGTTAACCCCGCGGGGGCCAGGCCACAGCTGTGGGTTATTTTGGGGCGTGGGGAGGGGTTATTCTGAGCACTGATTGAGCCAGCTGCTTGGGGAAGGGCAATGGAGAGGAGGGGTGAAGAGAAGCCAGCATCTGGGAGGGATGGGCATACTTGGAGCCCCCACCCCCTTCCCTGGGAAGAGAGGGGCCCAGGATCTCTGGGGAGGTGGGGCAGTGGGCAGAGGTGAGGGGCTGTGGCCTCTAGGAAGGGAAGGGGGTGGGAGACTTTTCCCCACCCTGGCTGTCTGCAGGGTGGACTAGGCCTGTGCTACCATGGCAACCGGACAGGAGACTGACTGACAACCAAGAGAGAGCCCTTCCCTGCCTGGACCCTCACCCCTCCAGGAGCCCTGGCGCAGGCTCCAATCTCACTCTGGGAACCCCGAGTCCAGAGCCCCAGTGCTCTCCTCCCTCAGACACAAGCAGGACCCAGGAGCCCGGGATCCCAGCCCAACAGCCCCAGGCGGCTGATATTCAACAGGGGGCACAGGAAGACACACTGTATTTCCTCTAATTTACTAAATTGTTCTGGGCTGGGAGCCAGGGACCCCCCCCACCAGCTCTCCACAGCTGTGCCCCCAACCCCACATCCCATCCTAGGCTGTGACTCTCTTCCTCGCTTTCATTGAGAATGGGGGCACAGGGACAGGAGTAAAGGGACAGAAATGGGCCGGGGGTTGTGGTCAGGGAGAGGGGTAAGGTCGTGGGGGCGTTTTCTCTCCTTGGAGTGGCCCACTAATTCCTCCTTCTGTTTCTTTCTCTCTCCCCACACACCTGACCCCTTTTCCCTCTCATTTTTTCCTCCCTTTCTCTCCCTTTTATTCTTGCTCCCTCCTGCCACTTGCCTTCCCCGCCTTCCTTTCATGTCTGTGCTGGGCACCTCCCTGGTGGGGGTCTCGATCTTTGCCTTCCTCGCTATTTCTGTCTCCCTGTGCTTTCTCTCTGCTCCAACCGCCTCCCTCAATCTCGATTCTGTTTCCCTATCTCTCATGTGTGCATGTCTCGCGGTGGCCGTGGGGTCCTTGCCTCCGTCTTCCTGGCTTGCCTTCCACCTTCCTCTCTGTCCAACTTTCTTGTCTCTCTTATCTCTCCCGCCTCCCTGCACCTATCTCTGCATCTCTGCCACTTCTGCCATTCCCTCCCTGGGTCTCCCTCACTCTGTTCCTGTCGCTCTGTCTTCTCTCTCTCTCTCTCTCTGTTGCTCCTTCCATCCCTCTCCTCCTTCCGCCGCTCTCGCCCCCCAAAAATCTCTGTTGTCTTCCTCTCCCCTCCTATCTCCCGGGTCTCTCTCATCTGTCTCACTGCGTTCCATCCATACCCTGTCTCTTTTCCCACTTCTCTCTCCTTACCTCCGTATCTCCGACCCAATACCCGTCCGGTCTTTGTGTCTCCCCATCTCTGCATCTCTCCCTGTTTCACCCCCCAACACCTCTTCTCCATCCCTCCCTTCCACCTCCCCCACTCTTTCCCTCTGACCCCATCTCTCCATCTCCTTGTCTCTGTGCCTCTCCATCTGTCTCTCTCCCTGTGTCTGTCTCTCCCTCTTTCTCCCTCCCTTGTCTCTCTCCTTGTGTCTCTCCGTCTCTCTTCTCCCTCCCTTGTCTCTATCTCTCTCCCTGTGTCTCCACACTCTCCCTGTGTCTCCGTCTCTCTCCCTCTGTCTCTCCGCCTCTCTCCCCGTGTCTCTCTCTCCATCTGTCCGTCTCTCCCTTCGCGCCTGTCTCTCCCTGTCTCCATCGCCCCAACCTTTCCCTCCCCCCGACTCTGCGTCTCTCCCTCCCTGTATCCCCTCTCCTGTGCATCTCCTTCCGTCTTGCCGCCGTCTCCGCGTCTCCCCGTCTGTCTCTGCCCGCCCCCCACCCCGTCCTCCCGTGTCTCTCCCCGGCCCGGGCGCTCAGGGGCCGCCCGGCGGGGCCCG